TCCGATGCAATTTCTCTCCCAGACACTGTCTTCCAGGATTCACAGCTGTACTTTACAGCTCGCAATCCAGACACCCCCGACAGTGGAATCAACTCAGAGTAACTGTACCAGGGTGAGGGGAGTTTCTTGGAGTGGATTTTTTGGCCGTTCCTGAAGAACCGGACCCCGGACACGGTGGGTGCCCCTGTAGCTGAGCACGTCAGGGTCACAGCTTCTCCAGTTACGTAGACAGGCGGCTGCGGGGACACGGTGAGCTGGGGAGCCGGGAGGGGGTCTGGAAAAGACAAGGGGGTCGGGGGAGGAGACGGTTCCTACTTGGGCGGCTGGTGACACCGAAGCAGAGGAAGGGCCAGTGAAGAGCACAAGAGGGCGGAATCCTGGACACAGACCCCAGCCAGCCCCAGCTCAGTGCCCAGGGACCACGTCCCCGCCAGGCCATGCAAACACTGAGCAGCAGCGATCTCACTACCAGGGAACCTCCTGGGACCAGCGTCCCCTCCTTGGTACCTGAGGGGGCAGCTCCTGCCCAGGGCCAGCTCAGCCTGCAGGGGCGGGGAGGGGAGGGCTTGTGTGGCTGAAGCTGGGGGTGTCGGGGAGTGCTCTCATCTGGCACAGACCAGGCTTCCCTGCACTAAGGGTAGATGGTAGGAAGGTGCCTCACAGCCATGAGTTCCACCCCGGGGAGCATCACACACACCAGCTGGGATCTGGCCCCATTGACTCCAAAGGAGCCAGGGTCATTTACATTGATCTGGCTCTACCCATAGACTCCTTTGGAGATTTTGCTGATTCTCACCAGCCGGGATCTCGCTCATTCACGGCGAAGACTCTGAAACCAGCCCCTGGTCCCACTGGGCCTTGGGCTGTTTTTTAAACCAATGTTTCTTCTGTGTCACAGGGAGGATTTGCACAGATGGGGAGTGAGGGGGATGGGGAGGGTTTCCAATCCCCAAACCCTGACCCTGTGTGATGGGTATTGACCCCGCTCTGGCACTACGAGGTTTAACAGGCACTGGATAGCTTGTCCCATGAGAATCCTGCCAGTTGGTGACCCCCAGGGCTGAAAGTGAGCCGGTACGGGCCGGTACAGCCTACCGGTAAGAAGACGGTACCGGTCCGTAGCAGCCCACATTAAAGCGCTGCCACGGCAGTGCTTTAACATCCCTGTCCCTTTTGTGCCCCCCAACGGGGGCCCTCCCGGTAGGGTCCGTACTGGCCGGGTGGCCGACGGGGAAGGGGAGTGACATTACAGCACTGCCGCTCCATCACTTTAAGGACCCTCAAAGTGCTGCTGTGGTGCCGCTTTAAGGTTGCTGCCAACGCGGAGGGGAGTAAAAGGAGTAGCTGCCCTGGGGCCGGCGATTTAAAAGGGCCCGGGGCTCTGGCCGACGCTGCCGCTACCGCAGCAGCGGCTGGAGCCCTGGGCCCTTTAAATTGCCACTGGAGCCCTGGGCAGTGTGGATGGGTTGGCTGGGGGACACTGACCCCCCCCAGCTCTGCCCCTTCTGCCCGAGGCCCTGCCCCTTCTTTGGACTTACTTTCACCCCTGATGAACCCCGGGGTTGGGATCTCTGGAAGGATCTGGAAGGTGAGGGGCAGATGTTACCAGGTTACATTCATCTCAGAAATTACAGGGGGATGGAGACTTCTCCGTGGGAAACTCCCTGCACCTCACTGAGCCCCAGCCCTGCCCTGTGCCCACATGTTACCCAGCGGGAGGCAGGGCCTCTCTGTGTGGGAGTCCCTGGCTGGACTGGATTGCCCAGTGCACACCAGGAGTATGGGAGGTCTCTGTCTGAGCTGTGAGCATCAGCTGATAACTCTACAAGGGTAAGGGACCTCTTCAGAAAGCTTCCATAGAAAAATTTGCTTCCGTTGGTGCCTTCACCCATGGGTGCAGAGTAACTTAGGGTAGCACCTTCCCCTCTCATACACATATGCAATAGGGGATCCTGGTGTATTGGTACCGGCAGGGGAACTGGGTAAGACGCCATAAACTTATCCATCTCCCGATGAGAATCAAGAATGAAGCTGCAGGGCAGAGGACTTAGAATTGGTTCCCGTCAGCAGGGATCAGGGCTGCGAGCTTCCCTCCAGCAGTGCCATTATAATGCCAAACTTTAGTGTCTGACAGCAGGGCCTGACACTGGGCACAGACGGGGGAGATTTGGCGTTCATTGCATTAAACGTCCCCAAGTTCTCAAATGTTACTGGGGTTGAGGAGCCTCCGAACCTCAAAGTAACACCGACCCCCCCTCAATAAACCATCGTAGGGGCCAGAAGTTCCAGTGGGTGGCTCTGTGCAGAACTGAGTGACCAGGCTGTGTCTCATCCCATCCATAGAGGAGAGATACCGGCCACTGGGCCAGCAAACAG